ATATATATATATATTAATTGATCATATTTATCTAATCCTCTTTGCATGTAGAATTTAGTAGTAAATTTTATTATCAGCTATACCAAACTACTTAATAAAAAGTTAAAATTTAATTTTTACTAAGAGTTTAAATTTATAAAACACTCGTACAAACATATGAACCTTTATATTGAACTATTATGTTATCTTACTTAATTTGGATAAAATAAAAAGTACATATTTTTACTAAAGAAGATTACATAAACTAACTTAATATCATGGTTTAAAAAAAACCTTTAAAGAAATGACAATAAATCATCTACTCTAATCATTGTTTTACCAATTGTTTTTTTTTTAAAAATAAATAGAAAATGATTAATTTTGATTTTTCTGTGAAAATAAATGAACTTTGAGTATTACATTATTTTATTTTAAATAAATTAAAAATTAAATATATTTGTATAAATACATAATACTGCTTATGCAACTATGGTTTTTGCTATTGTGAACCACTTGACATAATTTTTTAGTTTTTTTATAAATAATATTTCCAACATGTACTTGTGTTTTCAAATAACATAGAAAAAATAAAGTACTTTTTTAATAAAAAATTAATGTAAAGTTAAGAAGAATAAGTTGTGGTAATAGTAGCAAATATTACAATGGAATGTGATAAATAGCAAATTGTGGTGGTAATAGCAATACTTGATAAATAAAATAATTATATATATATATATATATATATATATATATATAATATTAAAATTGTGTAAAAAAAATCAACAAAGTTACCATACACAAAATATTGATAACATAGTTCATAAGTCATAGTACAAAAATTTAAATCTAAGGACAAAGATGTTGTAGAAATAATTTTAAAAATAGAAAATATTTAGCAAGTTCAACATAAAATTTTATCTTCACAATTAATTATAAAAATAATAAAATATCTTAATTATAGAAAATTTAAAATAATTTTAATATTTACAATTATATCCAAAAGTTTAGACATTATAAAAAAAGAAATTCTTCAATTTGTATTTAAAAACTAATCTTTATGCATAATAAAAATTAATATTTATTATTTTAAATTTAATCAATATTTTTATACTTGTAAAATATATTTTATATATTTTAGATAACTAAAGTGCAACATAATTAATATATATATATATATATATATACACAAACTTAAATCCAAATAAGTCATAAAAATTTGAAACAAATTATATTAATAAAGATATATGATTTATTATAAAATTCATTTATCTATATATATATAGCTTATTTATATATATAAATAATATATTATTATTTTATAAGCTTTTAATTTTAATTTTCAAATATAGAAATTATAGATAAAAAGTAATATTTTAATTTTTTTTAAATATTTATTACAAATAATTAAATTTTATTCAATTCAATTTATTTTTTTATATTATTTATATAGGTTACTTATCATAAGTAATTCTATATTAGATGGATACTGATAATATTTAATCAAATATACCTTATCCTACAAAATATAAATATGAATGACTTTAGTAACATCATATGCTTGACTTAATATTCATGTTGATGTACTAAAGTAAGAAATAAATATATTATTATACTATGTATTGGTTTTTTTCTATGAAAATACAAAAACAGCTTTATATATACATTTATTCCTTATAAATAGTACCATTCTAAATGTTTTTTTTTTTTTTATTGCTTAAATTGATTAGTTTTTAAATAAGTAAGTAAAAACTGGCTTTGGATTTTTTTTGAGGAACATGAATGGTGATATTCTATACATGTATTACTAGATTTGCTTTCATTAAAGCATTATAAAATAAAATAATTATAATGGCATATGATTACTTTGAAAATACTTTTGATATTATGATGTTTATAGACTTCTAAATAAGTTTAAATTTGAATTATGATGATAACAACACTAAGCCATTAATAGCTGTAAACATTTTTTTTAACAACTTTTATAATACTTATAGCCTTTAAATTAGGTTGAAAAATTAAATTATTTCATGTACTTTTTTATTTTTCAAACTTAAGATTTAGTCAATATCTTTTACAAAAATAATATTTTTGAACACAACTCTTCTAAACAATATCCACATACATGTATACAAATTACAGGGCATGTACTTTGAATAACATTACTGTTCATCTTTTTTTATTAATTTAATAAAAAATATCTGGAATTTATCAATAATACTCTTAATTTGATTTAATTTGATTTAATTTGATTTGTTTTTTTTAGAATTTGGACGAAAATAAAATATGTAAGTGCATAATTTTTTCATAAATACATACAATTTATGTATTTATATAACTAAAAGTTAAGCCCTTATATTTATATTAAATAAATTTATTAATATACAAAAAAAATTCTATCTATTTTTATTATGCTTAATTTTATTTATAAATATTCTATAATGACAAAAATATATTTAAAAAATTAATATTTTAAAACCTATATATTTATAATTATCCTATATTTTCAAGACTAACTTTTATTTTTAAACCTCAATTCATAAAGAAATAATAGTTGTTCAAATTCAATAAAAAATTTATATTTTTAAAATTAATAATGGTATTTTTTGACAACTCTTTACTTTTTTTAGTACATTTTTTTACATACTTTTTTTATCCGTGTAGAAAAATTTCCAATAACAATTTTTTTTAAAAAAAATCTAAATTAAAGATACTTTAAATTTTACAAATAATTATTTATAAATTAAAATTTTTAATTATATTTTACTATTAAATTGGTACTCATTATTTATGAAATGTTATATGTCTTTCATGTTTTGATTTCTATTTTATTATTTATGCAAACATTAGATGTATTTGAAACACACATTTTAGTTACCATATAATATATAGTGTTAAGGACATGAATTTTAAAGTTAGAAAACTGAATATATTCCTATATCATTCAAAAAGATTATAAAGTCACTCAAAGATGGTAAAATATTGAACTGGAATGACTATTGCTGAAGATAAGAAGACTAGAAAGTCTTGAAAGAAGACTAAGAACTAGAAAGACATTGACAAGAGTGAAGAAGGCTTCACTCTTGCCTCCATATATACTATCTAACTAAAAGCCATATGGACCTCCAACATGCGTTGACTTTGCAAGGCACATATGTTAACTTGCAAAACAAGTTTTCAAAATGTGCCCTACGTAAAAACCTTGTTCCATAAACTATAAATATGTGTGATACATGATTAATTTGTTGACCAAATTTCTAATCTACCACTCAACTACAAATACATGTAAAGTCAAAATTATATCTGTAAAGCTTCTAGGAAGCTTATTTAGAAGATATTATGAAATTAATCTACTTCATTAAATATGAGAAGTATAAGTAATTATATTAGTAATTATATTAGTAATTATATAACTAGTCATGTAAGTAATTATTGGAATAAATATTCATGTCCATGATATATAGTCACATCCTTTATTATTATTTTAAATAATTAATAAAAATTTTTATTCTATTTTAAAGTATTTAATATATATATATATATATATATATAACTATTTTTTGTTTATATAAAAATAAATAAGTGTTAAAAAAATAAAAACTTATTCAATTTTATTTTGTTAGAAAACTTAGAAATATCTATAGAATTAAAGCTCAAATAATAAAATTTTAATATAAATAAAATCAAAAATTGTTCTAAAAACTTTCTTGAATTATTTAAAATCTAAAATTTAAATTTAAATATTTTGAAATTCGTAAATCAATAAAATATTAAATTTATATCAATTAAATAAATACTTTGATTTTATATCTATTTCAATTTGATTTCTATTCTTTATGAAGTTTTCTTCAAGACATATGTGTCTTAGAATAACATGGTTTATTTTGTTGTCTGTTTAGTTTATCTATAGAATCATGTTAAAGTTGTGGTATTGAATTTTCGAAAATATTTTTATTGTATTAAATGATAAGATTTAATCAAATAATTGAGTTAATGTGATTATATAGGATAAAGAAGTATATTCTTCAAAAAAAACCTCATACTAATATTTCATGATTTTTTAAACATTGAATAAAATTGAAATTATTTTAGAATAAAAGATCATTTAAAATTTAAAATGTCTTTGTTATATTAATCAATGTGACTTATTTAACTTTAAAATGCTAGTCAAATATTCTTAAGCTTTATCTAATTATAGATAGTATATGGTATAAATTTATTCATAAGATAAATTATTGAATAATATGATTACTTGAACTAAAAGTCAACAACCAAAAGTCAAGAATTTACCCTTTATTTATTTTAGAAGTAACCATGGAAATAAAAATACGTTTTATCTCTTAAATAAATATTTGATAGCTACTGCATATTTTTTGATCGATTAAAAGATTTTATACATTAAATATTCTGATATAATTGGTTATAAATTTCAAGTCCAAAATTATAGAGATATTGCTAAAACAATTTATTATTTTATTCATAAAGTTTGAAAAGCTCTTTATTTCTATGCTAGCATCCATTACGCAAGTTTAAGGATTTAAAATTAGAATGCAGTACAGTATGGTTGTTATCAAGATCTTAATTAATAATATAATCACAATTATTCATAAACTACTTCCGAAGAGCTTCAACCAGTATCATGTATATTTGTATATATATATATATATATATATTCAAGCATATTACATGTAGTATTATAATACAACCAAAATAAATTAAAAACGTGCACCCATAAAAACGAATTAAAAATTTAATCACAAATAATTCGCCCATCATTATTTGGTTGGAAAACGTGAAGGGGGGCTTACCAATTTTATCCAGGGCCCAAAACGAAGTTGGTGCGACTCTGCGGACATGGGACGAGGTTCCTAAATGGGGTCAAGACCCAAGAAGTGGGACCTGGGACCTGGGGCTGTGTGCCGTCTCCGTCGCGGCGACAGAGATGGGACTTTACAACTTTACTCCTCAATAGGGCCGATGAAGACGAAGGCGATGAAGAAGAATAAGTAGTCGACGACGACGACGAAGAAGAAGTAGAAGTTGAAGAAGAATCAGTAGAGCAGCGATGAAAGCAATTAACCAGTGCTTCCATTTCCTTCTTTGCCTTTCTTCTTCGTTTGTTTTGGTTTTTTTTATGATGTTGGTTTGTTTACGCGAGTTTGCCGTGAAGCCGTCGGTAGGCAATTGGTTTGCGAACTGGTGGGTCTGAAGGGGGGGGGGGGGTGGCTTATTCATGGCTATCACAGAGGCTGTGGTTGGGGACGACGACGACGGCAATTGTCACTTACATCGCTGAAAACACTTGTGCTGCTCGTAATTACTGTTCCTCCGCCACGGCTGCAGGCTGTCTGAGGGGTGCATGTTTGACCTACTTGGACTGGCGACGGAGCGAGGGAGAGAGAGGGGGAAGGGGAGGGAAGGACGGAGTGAGTGAGGGAGAGAGTGAGGGAGAGAAAGGGAGAGGGAGAGAGAGAGACGGGGAACCGATATGCCAGCCAAGAGTGAGGTGAAGCGAGGCGATGCGATTTCGGTGCACTGGCCCATGGGACGGACTTGGTGTGATGGCAGGGTCAAGACTATTGACGTCGATTCTGGCATTTATGATATTCTGTTTAACGATGGCGAGGGAGAGGTGCTGAATTTGTTCAAGGAAAAGTACAAGGTCAAGGCGGGCGGCAAAGAAGACGAGTTATTGGACAGAGTGTTAGCAGGCGAAAGAGATGTGTCGAAGCAGCTTGGGCGCATCGGTGATATTCTTCGTGATATGTGTGAGTTACTGCTGGATTTTTAAAATTATCGGGTGTACCAGTCAGAATGCCTTGGGACAAAGAAAAAATTGAAGTTTCTTGTTTTTTGTTTTTATTTTCATGATTTGGTGGTTTAGCGGGGACTTACAGCATCGCTTGAAATGCTCGTTGTGATGAGTGGATTAACGAGGTAGCGGCACAGCGGAGGTCGTGATTGTATAATGAGAAGTGAGGTCAGACGAAGAAGGAGAAGTATTTCGGTTTCGGTTTGATCTGAGAACGTGTTGTTGCTTGGTCGTTAACGATGCTGACGTTTCATGGCGTTTCAATAGGCTCGCTAGTGTAGTGCTACATATTTCATGGATTGTAGGCGGTTTGTGATGTGATATACTTAACAAAGTAAGCAGTGTTTCTTTAGTTGTTCGAGGCGAGCCTGTTCTATTCTTCACTCTCTTGAATTTCAGTTCTTTGTATGGCTTGTCTACATTCCCCTCAACGTATTAGTTAGGAGCATTGCTTGGAGTGGCTAAGACAGGACAGACTACACGGACACTTTCCTTTGGGTTTAAGAGAAATCTATGTTCAGCTTTAAACGGCGAAACGTCCTTGGACTCTCTTAAAGTCGTTGCACTCTCTGCAGCTTCTGCATTGTAGTTGCTGTGAGGGAGATAAGTTTTGAAGCAGTTTTTTCCCCTTTCATATCAAATTTTAGGCTAAGTGAGCTTTAACTTTTTTGGAAGCGTTAGCTCGTATCGTAGGACATGCTCCGCAAGTGTTGTAGAATTCATCTGAAAAGTATCACGATGCCCTGTGCAAATTTTGAATGGGATCGTGAGGCTTAGCTGAGAACTACGTGCACCAAAGCAAGCATTTTTGTTTTTATTTTTCAGATTGTACGACGCAAGTATATTGATAATTCCATCTGCAATGTGTAGCGGACAGGGCGGACTCAGCGGGATGCTGCTCAGATAGGAAAGGTTGGTGGTTTGATTGGTACTCTGGGATAGGGTCTGCTGTGGAAGCTGGCAACTTGATTACGTTAGAAAAAGTATCTTACGACCTTGTCTGCTGGCTCAGGCCTAGGGTCCTGACCGCACTGTGGTCAGAATCTGTTTATGTCTGTTTCGTATGATAAGTACCGTTTTGCGTTCTTCGTTAATTTGTTTGAAATGTGTATTAAGGTTGTTAGGGATTGACTTTTTAATGACAAAGTTCCTGAAGAACAGACGGTGTGCAGGTTGAATATTGGCAACAACGTTTGAGGTCTGCGGAAACCTGTGAAGGACTAGTGGGCTGCTTAGAGGAACAACGGAACAAGGTGGTAGTTTGGACAAGTGCATATTTGCTTTTTCTTACCACGAACGGGAGTGTTGGTATGTGTTCTGGCATCTCGATTTTTTTTCATGATGAGGCATTATTGGCAATCAGCGGAGTGGCAATCTTTTTAAACTAGCGATATCTTTCATTGCATCGCATGAGCAGCCTCTCATTCTGCTGGTTGCAGATGTATTCAGAAACAGTTCCAAGTCCTTCATTCCGCAGCTGCTATGGCCAGAACCTTGACGATCATTAACGATCCACAATCCAGTGAGCTTCTAAAGCTTTTTTTCCTTTCTTGTGGATAATTATGACACATGATACTGTTGAATGTATATTTTATTTTATTTTTGGGTTGCCATGGTTAGTTGTAAGTTCTATGGTTGTAACGCTATTCGTTACATTTATATATTTTTTTTTCCCGTCTTTTCTCTCTCCCTTTTTCAACAAAAGAAAATATACTAAGTTTTGTTGTTGGTAAATTATGGAGACTTTGTGGTCAAGTATCATTTAGATTTGGTTTATTTAGGCAGGATTGCGATCCAGAGATGTATTTTAATCGTTCAGGACCTGGTATTCGTGAGATTTTATAATGTTGGAGAACATTATGACGTTTATGGCCATTTTTGAAATTATTTTGAGAACGAATTTTTATCGCGTTTTAACCTTCTGTGCTGACATGAAGGCCCTAAAAATGTACTAGAATAACAGCAGTTTGTGGCAAATCTGGCGGGGGTTGATCAGAGAACATTCCCATAGACTGCGGCATATCAAGTATGGTTTCAATCTATCTGGTCTATCACAGATTATTGCCATTGCCGTGTCTCCTTGATCGACGATTGCCATCTGTTATGTTACGGAGATGTAGACTTTCTTGAGTGGCAGACCTACTCAAATCTGTGTAGTGTTACTTACACTGGAACAATGCATTTGTAGGGGAGAGATTATGACCAGTCTGAGACTAAGTGTTTTTTGTTGATCAGATCAAGAACAAACCTTACGCTGGAAGAAAGGCCTTTCCATTTAGGGAGGGTCATACCTCTTCTCAGAAAACAGGAGGAAGGGTGTGATGGGTGAACAGGTTAAAGATGGTCTTTCTAATAGGTTAAGAAGAATTGTAAAACAGGAAAGGTATTATGGAGAAGAAGCTAGTTCCGAAGGGGACAAATCAGAAATTGAACTAGGAAGTTTGCGGGAGGTCATAGATAAAGAACAGTCTGTTCAGAAAGGAAAGAAGCGAACTTTAAGGGCTGGGAAAGAGGGAAAAGAAGGTCAAGCTGAAGATGGTAAGGCTGAACACACCTGCGGAATGGAAAAAAGTGTAAAATCGACGAGTGGTACTCCGCAGCTGAAGAATTCAAAAGGATCGAGAAGAATGAAGCGAAGAACGTCTGACCGAGTGGGGAAAAAATTCGAGGAGGAGCATTCAGATGAAATAAGCGGAGATGCTAAGGCTATGGTCAAAGAGAAGCGAGGGCAGAAAGACTCACGTGGAGCTTCAAGGATAAGGAGAGAAACTGATAAGAAAGCTAAAGCTGGTTCTCGGAGCAGACCTACTAGAAGTGCAAAAGCAACAGGTCGTAGTGTGCAGCCGATATCCAGAAAGAAATTGAGAGGGCTACAGCATGTGGAGGAAGCTATGTCTGAGGAGGGTGGCTCACGTGAAGAAAGTTCCGACACAGGAAGTTCAGATAGCGCTATATCTGACAGTTCTGAGGATTCTGGCCGAGGAAAACACGCAAAGCCATCAGTAAGGACTAGATTGTCAAAGAGGAAGTCAGATGAGATTGATCTTGGTTTTGGGAAGAAAGCAAGAAGACGAGGAAGTGGGTGGGGATTTCATACTCTGACCTAATTTTTGTTAGATTGGTCATTTAGACATCCTTACTAATCTGATTCAAATCAGCCGTTTAGTGCGACTAGGAAAGAGATTCTACAACGGTATCTTCCATTTGAAGGAATGTTGGCAATCTATACACGGTTTTTTTTTGAATTAAGGGTTAGTGAATGCCATTGAAAGGTAGTAACTAATTTCCAAGGTTAGTCACGGTTTGTTCTAAATTGTAAATGACGGGATATAGGCAAGTCCATTGTTAAATATAATGACTAACAAATATTATTATCCTTTATTAGGCTTGGCGATTCTAGTCCACTTGACGTTAGTAGATCATCACAGAAGCCTCGAATTGAAAGCGATGACGATTTTATCATGGAGGGCAATCAAGACAGTTCGTCTTGCAGCGAAGATAACAAGATGAAAACTGATGAAGAGAGCGACGATGTTAGTGGTGATATATGTGCTCGAGATAATACCAAGGGGAGGGTTTCCAAGAAGGGAAAAAGCCCAAGAATGAAAGAGGAACCTTCCGAAAATCAGGATTCGTCTGACGAAGAAGTTTGCTCAGTTTGTGAGGTACTGATCGTCAATGTTATCTGGAATAAGTTCTACAACTTGGATTGTCATTTTTTTTGTTTGGGTATATGCCAGTAGTTCAATGTACACACGCATGTCATCGTCTTAGCAGGCTGTCATGGCTGTATGTTGCTGATCCGGTTTGTTTGTTTGTTTGTTCGTCCAGTTTGCAGGTGCAGCAGATCTGATGTTGCTGTGTGACGGAGAAAACTGTGAAGAGGCTTTTCACTCATTCTGTCTGAAATTTCCTCTTCAAACTATCCCTGAAGGGGATTGGCTGTGTCCTCTCTGCTTGTATGTGAAACGAGCCAAAGAAGTGACTGATACACCTGTGAAACGAACTCCAAAGTTGCGGGCCAAAATGATTCCTTCGGTAAAAAGAGTAGAGGCTATATTTGGGTTTCGTGAAGATCCTTCTTCTAGTGAGGATCAGAAGCAAAGGAAATTGCAATATCTTGTGAAGTGGTGTTCCCTCTCTCATCGTCATGATACCTGGGTATGCATCTGTGTCAAAGACTGATTCGGTTTCATCGTTTTTAGTACCAATCTGAGAATTAGATGGTTGTTAAACTAATTAAGATTCTTGCTTTGTTCTTGCTTCAGGTCCCTGAAGATTGGCTTTTATTTGCTGATAGGACCCGTCTCGCTACATATCAACGCAAATCTTCGTAAGTGAAGTTTTCACGCGCACCCATTCACCTACATACACGTCCTTTTCAAGAAACAAGAGTGCGTCAACAAGTAGTTGAATGCTATGTAGTAATCCAGTGCACTTGTTACGTCACTTCGCCATGTTGTACCCTTTTAAGTTAGCTTATTAATCTGCTTGATCTCAATTTTTATATTTCGTAGCTCTAAGCTTACTCCAACTGTATGGTTCAAAATTTTCGGAAGAACTTAGCTGAATCGTGTGACTTATTTATACCTATGAAATAGACGTACTTGTTTTTGTCAAGGGTCTCTAAGTAGTGGTTATTGTGTTCGCGTCCTGAGCAGTATTGGAGATGGAGATGAGATGTCTGATGAGCGCAGGCCAGAGTGGGTACAGATTGATCGGGTTATTGCTTGTCGTGATCAAGTAAAACAAAGTGTAGTTGGAAAAGCTCCGAGTTCGAAATCAAGCAAAAAGGAGTATCTAGTTAAATGGACTAACATAGAGTACAATGGATCGACTTGGGAGGAAGAAAACAATGACGAGGACATGCAAGAAGCTATCACTAAATTTAATGAGAGGCGTAAACTGGCAGAAAGAAAGGCGTGCATCAGTCCCATAGACCGGGTCGTGGCTCCTGCAATAACAGAACAACCTAAATATATTTCAGGAGGTGTATTGCATGACTACCAACTTCAAGGTTTAAAGTGGCTGCTCAGTAATTATCAGCAGCGGAAAAGTGTCATACTGGCCGGTAAGGTTACACTACATTTAGATTTTACTTCCTGTTTCTTGTTGATACTTCGATTGTCAGCATTTGCGTGGCCTCTCGTGTCTACATTTGTAATGACTTCACTTTTTCCTGCTGTGATTATCTGCTTATTGCATGTCTTTTCAATTTTCGTTGGCTTTCACATTAGTATGTTTCTAATGAACCCTGCATTGAACTTCCACCGGTGGATTACTTGATTTTATGCAGAACTTAAGTATTCTGCCGTAAGTTCCACGTTGTCTTAAAAAAATATTGTGATCCTTTTGTTGGTCTGAAGCTATATTTTGAAGCATTTTCAGACGTCACCGATTGTTCCGTTTCTTCCCCTGCTGATTATTACTAAATGTTGTTTGAGCAGATGAGATGGGTTTGGGAAAGACGATACAAGCAGTGAGCTTTATTATGGCTCTCAAACATGAAAATCTCAGTAATAAGCCTGTGTTGGTAATAGGTCCAAAGAGTACTCTAGTTGGTTGGGAACAGGTATTTTCTTCATGCTCACATGTTTGGCCTTCAGGGTATTCTTTTGTTTCTAAGTTGAAGTTCATTAATTGCCCCATTGTCTTTGTTCAATAACTTGCTCCTTCGTTTGATGATTAGACTGAACCAATGGGTTCTTTTTGTACCTGCATTTCACGACTTGGGTCTTTGAAGTCTGTGTACTTGCATACATATTTAGACATATATGCCTTCATATGTTCAAGCTGTAGTTATCGCGAACGTCAAATTTCAGGAATTTTATCCGCGTAACATTCATATCTCCTGTAAACCTGTGTTGAAAACGTGGAATTTGACGGAGAGATAAACTTATAGAATTGTGGAGTTGATTGCATTTGCAACATTCTAGTGTCAAAATGTTCGTAGAACGTTCTTATGTTAATTACTAAGTGAATGTTATTTGCATTTCTTCAGGAGTTTCGACAATGGGGAGCAGATCTTAATTCTGTGATCTATCAAGGTGACAAAGATAGTCGCACAATGATACGCGATCATGAATTTTACACCAAAGAAAAAATTCCGCTTTTTGATGTTTTGGTAACATCTTATGATCTGGCTATGCTTGACAACACCCTTCTGCAAAAGTTTAATTGGGCCTGCATCATAGGTTTGTTCCTACCTTTCCGCTCCTTACGCCAACCGTGTTTTGGACATAAGTGCATGTATTACATTCTTGTGAACATAAATTTCAATGTGATCAACTGGTTCCTGTAAGAATTGGAGTAATATTACTGTAATCCTATAATGTAGAGTATGTTGCTGTAAGGACTTGACTTACCGAAATCTACTCCCACACCAACTTCTAGACTTTATTATCGAGTTTGTAAATACTGCTGAAAGTATATACCGCTTGTTCAAACGAAAAATATTCAGGGATAAGGGATGGACTCACACCGTCGTGGTTTCTTTTCTTTGTTTTTTTCTCGCTTATTGTTAATCTGCGAGGTGATTCTTGAATGTGGAATGCTTGTTGCAGTTGATGAAGGGCACCGAGTTAAAAACACTCGATCAAAGCTTGGAATCCTCCTTGGGCGGCAGACGACTGATTTTCGGCTCCTGCTTACGGTATGTTTCTTGTTACGTTGTTTTGAAGTCTTGTAAATAATGACAACTTGCTACCTGACATCTTGAAGTAGGAAGTTTTCTTTTTCTTCTTTGTACTGGATTGTGAACCACTTCTCAACTTTGTATTGCAATTTCTCATGTTTAGAATTATACTCGGATCTTCAATTTTTTCTGATGGAATAGCTCACATGTATCAATCTATGCGGGTGTGATCATGCAGGGCACACCCGTACAGAATACTTTAACAGAGTTGTTCGCACTCCTGAACTTCCTGGACCCGAGTGAGTTCCCAGATCCAGAGAGGTCAGCTCAGGAGTTTGCTCAAGTGGATGCACTGAGTGGGGCAGGTTCTAAAGGAGAGGGTGGGGTAGAGCAGCAAATTTCTCGGCTTCATGAGCTTCTGACGCCTCGGTACATATGTCTTTACTTAATACACGTGCACAAAGATTTTCAATATGGTTCTTGCAGTTTAAGATTTTTCTACTAGATCGATGGTGGTTTAATAACATATCTCTGTAAGAACCCGGAGTGTTGTGTTCATCGTGTTGTGTACGTCTGAATTTAGACGGACTTGTTGATCCTTCTTACCTTATAGCTATGCCGAATTCGAACTTAGTTAGCAACGAATGTGAGCTCTTTAGTGCATAGCGTATGAATAGTATCATCTGATAGGAATTTCTAAATCAGAACGTATTTTGTGAGATAGTTTCTCTGATGGAACTTTGAGAAATCCTGTTACCTCCTGCTTCTGGACCTTCATTAGTTTGACTATTAATATTTTGATCGCGATGTAATCTGGGATGATTTAGGATGCTGAGGAGATTGAAGGCAGATGTTATGCAAGGGATGATACCTGGGAAAAAGTATGTAGAAGTCATGTGTGCTCTTACACCTCTTCAGCGGCATTTATATGGGGCCATTTTAAAGAAGAATTATAAACAGCTTAATCGTGGCAATACCACTGGTACTCCTTTATTCCCTTTTGTTGTATGTTGATAGCTATCTGTTATGTATTGCATGCTGTATACACTAATTTGAAAACGTAGATTTATTCTTGAATGATGCACTTTCAGAAGAAAGCTTTGCGACTTGTTATTGCCAATTGTTGTACCGTTTTTACAATCATGATTTTTGGGATGATGTGATTTGTATTTAGGTAAGAAAAGATCGCTCAACTTCATCCTGATGGACCTCAAGATGGTCTGCAATCATCCGGTGAGCTAAGTTTGTGAACTTCTTAGTGTTGTATTTCGACCAGACATGAGAATCTTTGCATTGAATGTGATTCAAATTTCAATATTGAGTTTCTCTGCTTTGCTGCAGTATCTATTTCCTGGCAAGGAACCTGAACTTGGTGATCCTGATGAGTTATTCAGGCTGCTTGTAACTGCTTCAGGAAAATTTCAACTTCTTGAGAAGGTTCACGCTTCCTTTTCTCTGAGACTTCAGAAGTTTTTCAATGTATTTTTGTTGCACTTCTTTTTCTTTATCCTTTGCATCCAGTGTTGAGCTGTGTCTGCGTTTCATAGAAATTTAAGGCAGTGCTTTAATTGTACCTCTTCTTGAACTTTGTTCTCTTGTTTGTTGCAGCTGCTTCCGAGATTGAAAGAAGGTGGTCACCGGGTGCTTCTGTTTTCTCAAATGACAGGCATGTTGGACATATTGGAAGACTTTTTGACTCATCTGAATTTTAAGTTCTGTAGGTGAGTTCAATGACAAGTTTTTCATCCTAAAAGAAGTTGCAAGTGTCGCTTTGACTTGTCCTTGTCATGCATTTACATTCCCTACTTAATATAAACTTGGAACACACAGCTGTTATTGTTTTTAAATTGTCAAATTTCTTGTTCCATTAGAGCTGAAAATGAAAGGTTGGGATGTTGGTAGTTGTAATCTGTCGTCGGGAAACTATGAGGACTGAATAAATACTGTCCAGGTTTCTCCACATTACTTCCCTCTGAAAATATGTTCAGTTTGTCAGTCAAGCTTGTGTTGCGTACGGTTTGTCGAGTATCGTTATTTTGTATTTCATTGCGTATGACAGAATTGATGGAAGTACACTTGCCTCCGAAAGGCAAAAGCAAATAGCCGATTTCAACAGTACGAATTCAGACATCTTCATTTTCCTTATCTCAACTCGTGCTGGAGGACTTGGCATCAATTTGGTAAGGAATAATGGTTTCAAATGTATACTCTCTATTTAGATTTCATTAATGCTGAAACTATGCTGGGAAGGCATCAGAAAGTTCTGGTACTATCCGGGAGGCTAACCTCAATATGTTGGTGTTTTGTTGTCAGCCAAGTGCAGATACGGTCATAATCTACGGTAAATATCGACTGATTTTCCTTCAATTTTTTTCACTTTGTTGAACTTGTCGAATCTCATTATGTCCTTGGTCTTGTCGACGCACATTTTAAAGATTAGCTATCAAATCAGTTGGCGCTTGTAATCTTAATTGCTAATTTTGTGACACCTAGAAATCAATCTCTTGATATTCTGTTTAGTTCTTTTCAGATTTGTCTTCTGCCGCATATTTACATTTGGAAGCTAGTCAAACTCGGTGCTTATTATCAGCCAATTGGATTCATGTTATGTCACAGTGTCATTTGTTATTTGATTTAGCTCTGTTGGGTGTGATTAAATCTTTGGTTATACGACGGCATTCTCGCTCATCTATGTTTTCAAGCTTCATTTTTCTGCAGGTTGGTCTTACATTTTGCGTCGTTGTCTGCAACAGATCCCGATTTTAACCCTTTCGTAGATTTGCAAGCCCAAGCGCGGGCCCATCGTATAGGCCAGGAGAATGTAGTGCTTGTTTACCAGCTTATTACTAAATGCTCTGTCGAAGAGAAGATTATTGAAAGATCTCGACAGAAATTAGCTATGGAGAACTTGGTCATGAGTTCAAGTGAGAAAGACACAGCTGAAGATGTGAATACACTTCTTTTACATGGCGCACGGAAGGTTCTTGAAGAGCACGATGTAGAAGCTACATCAGTGAAGTGGACAAATGAGAATCTTGAATTGCTTTTGAACAGAGATATCTCAGATACAAAAGGTGTCAAAGAAGGTGGTGCTGGTTATCTTGGTGCAGTACAAGAACCGGGAGGCATGTTGGGTGGCCTTCCTGTGGAAGGAAGTCCCTTAAAACCTGGTCGAGAATGGGATGATCTGCTTGGAAAATTGGCAGAACAGGATATGGAGGCTGAAGAGGCGAAATTGGGAAGAGGGAAGAGACAACGCAGAAAGATCCAATATAGCTTTGAGCCCAATATCAATGCTCATGAGGATGAAGAGGGAGGAGGAGATGCTGTTGAAGACGATCCTTCTTGTAGTGATGCTTCAGCCAGCTCGTCAGGGTCTGATTCTGATGTGAGTTTGGACGATGAAAAACGAACAGGAACACGGGGTCCTTATTTGGCAAAGGTTAAATCTATGAAGGAGGAGCTAGGAATAAACTCATCACAATCACAGCAGCACCCTGGTGTAGGTCCTTACCAACTGCCTAACTCAAATCCGGCTTTGAACCCTCTCCTTGTATCTCCAAAACATCCACAGTCCTCCAAAGTCATCCCACCTCCATCCTCTTCACCGCCGTACACAAACCAACCTAGTCCTTCGCAACATGCGTACCGTCCCCCTCTTGTTCCTTGGGCTGCTCCACCTTTTCCTCCCCCACATTCGACAACAATTTCAAGCAGTAGCCAGTCTCCTGGTTTGAGTCATCGTCATTTCCCAGCTCCATACCCTCCTGCTTGGAATGAAATATCTGCAAGTCCTGGGACTTTTCAAGGTCCAAGACCTTGGGAGTATTCAGCATCTCGAACCCAGGTCTTGAGCAGACCCTCAGTTTCTATTCCACAAACATATCAGCCATTGCAGCCTTCCCCCTCTAGTTCTAGGGAACTTCTAAACCCAGTTCGACCACCCGTTCATGGTTCTGTTCCTCACCAGACTGTTAAACTTGAAGTTTCTGGGAATTTGAGCCCGAAGGACTTGAATGTTCCTGTAACCTGCAGTACCATGAAACAGGGTACAAGCCCTAAATCTTCGAAGGTTACTTCGACGTCCAGAAGCTCAGAACAGGGACCCAGCCCTAAAGGTATGAAAATGACTTCCACCTCCATAAGTAAGCAACTGGGAACAAGGCCTCCCAACTCTTCTATAGGACAGACAGCAATTTCCGAGGTCGACAGAAAACATGTGAGTTCTCCTCTTGGTCCAAATGTGACTCATTTTTCTGTGCCGAAGTCACATTCATTGCCATATAAGACGAACCCTGCACCAGGGAGTGTAGTTGCCCCTCAAGAGGGTACACCACTGCAAGGTGTTCTTTCGCAACCGCCCAAAGAGCAATCCTCCTCCTCGGATTTTTTTTCGTTAGCAGAAGTTTTGAGGAGGACTGGGTCGCAGTTGTCAGCGTCACAGGCTTCTCCACCAGCAAATGTTCTGCAAGATGCTAACGGTTTATCCTTGGAAGACGTGTTACGGCAAACAGGATCGCTGTTATCAGGGTCCCAGGCTTCCTCAAAATCAAAGGTTCTCCAAGATGCCAAAAACTTATCCTTGGAAGATGTCTTGCGACAAACAGGGTCTATATTAACAGCTACCAAGCATGTCTTAACCACAGGGACTCCATCTAAACTTTTTGAGGAAGCCAAGAACATGTCTTTGGAAGATGTATTACGGCGAACCGGTGCAACCAACATAGCTATTGAAGATGTTTACAAGCGTATAGGATCGACAACATCAGGAACTCCGTCTCAACTCTTGCAAGATTCCACAAATATGTCGTTAGAAGAAGTTCTAAGGCAGACAGGATCGAAGCTAATTGCTCCGAATAGAGCTCCGTTTTCTAAACCTTCTGTTCTACAAAAACACGCCCCTGAACCTTTCATGCCATTAGGAGTACTGAACCGAAACGATCCGAAGTCAGTCGAATCTAAACGAGCTAAATCTGTCTTAGTTCCGCCGTCATCACAAGTTTCCTTGGATACGAAGAGCAATTCGTCTGCAGCAGTCCCACAACAAAGTGTTGCAACACGAAGTGAAACCAAGCAAGCTGTTTCTGTGGATTCAAAGAGCAACTTTTCAGAAGCAGTCTCACAGAAGAACGGTTCTCCATTGGCTGGGACTAAGCAGGTTGTTTCTTCACGAGCTCCACAAGTTCTACCAGAAGCACATTTAACTTTGTCGATATCTCCAACTCCGCAGTCCCCGAAAACCGAAGCAGAATGCGAGGTGCCAGGGATCAGTGGCAATCGTGTTCGACCAACACGTCTACCAGCATCATCTGAAAACAGCTGATATTGAGGTACGTGTCTATATCCTGGCGTTGAACCGTAGCGGTGACGATTTGATATTTGCATGGCCATCGCTTGACAATGTAAGTTGTGTGAAGTTCAATATGCACAAACTGAGTCAAGGTGTCTTCTATCGATTGTATGTTGCTGCATCGTGTTTGTAGGTTGTTTATACCACTTCCCTAATGACATTGTCTCGAAGTGGTCGCAGACGTGGATTTATCTGTGCGCCTCTGCCTTCCATGTGGCACTCTGCTGTTTGTTGGGAATACCATTTGTGTAGCTTATAGCAATGAATCTGAGACGTCACCTCATTATTTGTTACAAATGGTTCGATGGGATTGAGTTACATTTCTTAGTACTGTCGTGCTTTTTCTCCTGTTTTTGGCTCTCTAGCTGTAGTTATTCACCTTCTGGTCTAGTCAGGAGAAAATGATTCCCAGCAACATCCTTGGAATTAAGATATATTAGTAGGACAAAAAGTGAGCAAGTGATCTCAGGATGAGCCAGAGTCGAAACTTTGTTGCCATTATCCAATGCGATTCATGTTGTGAAGGATGATTATATTTATGTGTCTGCTGTATTATTATTTTAACATGGGTAATCGTGATTCATTCAGTTCCTGTGATGCGGAAGCGATAAAGTCTCCTTTCTCAGATTCCACGTATCTATTTTATCGAAAAGTCGACTTGGCTTCTTGGTTATTTTGGGTGCCAATTGTTCGTGTATTTGAAAGCATGGATTGAGTTATATTTTGGGAAACAGTGTCTTTGAAATGAACACGGAATATTTTGTATTTTGTTACATTTCATACATTTGTAAATTGCATTTATAACTTTAGAGTGAAAAATGAATGATTAAGTCAGGGTTATGTTATCTTTTGCGAGTGAAAACGAGAGGTGTTCAGACCAAGTAAGTCCAGAACATGGGCAATTTGGAGAATTTTCTCTATTCAAAATTTCACTGATATTTTTTAGGGTTGATTAGTTTGTATGCTTTTTAAATTTGTTTGTTTGTTTGATTGTTTGTTTGTTTGTTTGTTAGTTTGTTCGTTTTTTTTTTTTTTTGTTTTTTTTTTCCCCCATTTTCAACAGTTTTATAGATTGCCATTTGATGAGCACTGCAAAAACAATCAGTTAAACTTGATAATTTGAAACTTTCCAAGCAATTTTTGACATAAATAATATTTTTCCAAAAAAAGTGACGTCAGAACTAGTGGTATTTTATTTTCTATCGATTAGATAGTTGTAGAGAAGCTTATATTCATATTCTTAGGTCTTGTTATAAATTCATAAAGAACTGATTTTATAATTGACCATGTAATAAGTATTTAATCTTCTGTAAAATGTAAAAAATTGATCATCCTATTTGACAATAATTTGATAATTAAGATGTTTAATGGAATTTCATAAGTATAGAAGATAGGCCTTTGAAGGAATTAAGAAATGAGTAAATAATTATATAAGAAAATAATCCACTAATGTACACTTTCTAATCTATTGATGTATCTTTATTAATAAAGACACCAATTTTATTATTGTCTAATTTCTTGCAAGAATACACTATTTTAGTAATAATTTTTTGCTCTATAATTTTAAAAGGACTTTTGGTTTAGATAATATAATTAGAGATTTACACTAAATCAAAATCATTCTTAACTTTATCAAATAAACAAATTTAGTTACAATTTGAATGTTGAATGTATTTTGTATAAAATAAAAGTAGATAGTTGGTTTAGAAATATCTCTACTTATGCTTAGGATAAGTAGGATTGGTGTTATCATTTCTAAAGTTGTAGAAGGAACATTAGCTAGACTTTCTAAATTTGATGCATAGTTTTATTAAATATAGATAATTAAAAATACCAATATAAATGTAAAAACTTGTTTAAAAAAAGATGTTATTCTTTCTTGGCTAAATATTAAAAAAAAAGGATTGTATCAACTTTTGTATTACAAAAAGATTGGTGATTGAATACTTTAAAAAATAAAACTTCATGTTTAATTTAAAGCAAAAATCTTTCAAAAAATTAAATTATAAAAATATTATTAATTAAATTATTGATATAATATCACATTAAAGAATTTATATTACATTAGAGAATTTAAAATATCATATTTTACTATATTTTATTATATTTTATTTTGATGCCAAAAAATATCATGGAATATTACTTATTTAATAAAATCATATCAACTATTAAAATTAATCTTTAAATTTGAAATATATATACAACTTTAGGCAAGAAAATTAAGATTTAATTACATAATGGAAAAGAAAATCTTGAATGCAATTGGAAATTAGATTGAAAATCAAACTTATACTAGTAGCCATGCTATAAAATATAAATGGGTCAAAACAATTCAAAGTTGGAATATATTTTCTAGTTCTTAAAGAATCACTCCAAAATTTATTCACAAATTTGTAAGTTAATTTTTAGTTCTAAAATTTTTATCTATTATTATATATATGATTTTAAGCTTCTACTTTAGTTCAAACTAAGTATAATATTTTTTGTTGTATTAAGAAGAGATTTAATAATGATTTATAAGAAAAAATGAACTTTAATATATTAAAAAAATATTATTTTTATTTTTTAAAAAAAAAATTAAGAAAAAAAAAATTTTGATTTTGAAAGTAGCATTAAGAGATGCAATATCTAATTGTAGTAGATATACACAAAAGATTCTATAATCTTCTAAGAATCTTCTATATTATTATAGATTTTAAAAAAATATCCTAAGAATTTGATAGAAATATGTAGTATATAGCTTAAAAGTTAAGCTGTTTTAGGTGACTTTTTAAGAAGCTTCTAGAATAGCTTAGAATTCAAGCCACATAATAGGATTTAAAGCTTATTTATTAACAACAAGTTATTTATTAATTTATGTGGCAAGGCATGAGAAGCTTGGACTCTAAGCCTTAGGCCTTGCAAGTAGTATAAGTAGGGATAAAAGCAAGGCCTTTCTTAGTCTTCTCAAATCATCTCTCAAATTAATTCTTTTTTGTGGCCTTTGGGCCTTGTGATTGTCGTTTTACTTATTTTACAATTCCTTTCAGAATAAACATGTATAGGGGAATTCGAATATAAGGAAAGACTAAGTGCATGAGTTTTACTTGTTAAGATCACACAATTAACTATATTCCGAAACACTAAAACACTAAAAAATACTACAATGCTTTCTCCAAGTAACAATACTCCTTCATCAACTGATAACAACAGTGTGCAACCCTGCACTCTCAAAAGACCGCTCAAAATACAATAATTTCCAACTCCTCATATAATTCAATCACTCAGTATTTCAATTACATAATCAATAACTCATAAATCAATCTTTGATTTATTCCACAGACTCACTTCTTAGTATTCAGAAACTATCCATTACTCTTCAACAACAAAGAAACAAAGAAACAAACAGGTAGCACCAAGCTTACCCCGGCTCATGACTATCACAGTCTGGCACTCCAACAAACTTCTACAACTCCTATATAATTGCACTTCATTTCCAGATTCTAATCATAATCCTATAATTAACTGCTTTTAATAACTAAATCAATCATCCGTCCTCCTAAACTGACTATTCTATGGACTATTAGTCTATTTTATCAATATCTTACAAAAACGAACCAATATCTATTCTACAGGCCTTCTTGTTTCTTAAAATGAATTATTGATTGTTGTCTTCTTAGCTATCTGTTCTTTTTTACACATATTTTAGTCTTTATTATTTTAAAATATTTCTTTAAAATTTAAGTTCTAAGTGTGTCTTTGATACAAACATTGACTTCAACATTATTCAATGTCCTTTAAATCCATTGGTACTTGGTTTTCTTTGGTTTGAATTACATAATTCTGACATTGATTGAAAGATGCAAAAAATTACTTAAATGATTTTCTTACCTTGGTATAGAATATTATTAATGGTTGAAGAAATATATTAATTAAATTTGTAAAAAACATGGAACAAAATTTGTTGCTAATACCATTCAATAAATCTTTGATTTCATTAATTTATATAGTAATTTAATTGCTTATTGTAGAAGTTTTAATTTAGAAAAAATAATAAAGAAAAAAATACATGTATTAAATAAATAAATAAAATTATATAGAAGTATGCTGAAATATATTGAAAAAATAATATCTTTTTTGAAAAACTTCAAGAATTGTTTTTAGATTCAAATTAGGTAATTAAACTTTTACAAATAACTATATGATTATTGAAACTTATGCCATAAGTTTATTATTTTTAAGAAGTTGCATTAGAAGAAACTAAATTCTTAAGCTTTAAGTCTTCTATAGAGCTTCTATAAGACCTTTTTTATAACTACTAAATATAAAAGGAAAACTATAGCCATCATCAATCTTATTAACACCTTTCTTTTGTTTTAGTGATAGCTCAACACCTCCTTTATATTTAGTTGTAATGTCTTATGTAATAGCTCAATAAATGATAATTTTTGAGTTGAATTTTTTCATTATTGGTTCTTTGACTCTTTAGTGCTATAAATACATAAAAATTATAAATAAAAATAAAAAATAGAATTCAATCTTTTCTAAACCTTATTTTTTTTATAACAAATATATATATATATTTTTTATTTTTCATCTTAATTTTGATAGATGTCGTTGATGAAAAGCATTAATTTTCTTTGTTATATTTCTAAGATTCTTGATTGGCTCCCATCTGTGTCACACATATACATAAGTACTATAATAAATACCTATATGATTAAATAGAAGTAGGTAAAAATAGATAAAAGTAGATTAAGTTCATAATACCTACTAGAAAAGCTTCTTAGAAGCTTCATAGATACTGCTTTGATTTTATATCTGTTTGTAGTTGATTGATAGGTTAGAAACTTGGTCAAATAATTAATCACGTGTTGGTAGCTTGGGGAACAAACTAATTATGTGGCACACATATAGAAAACTTGCTTTGCAAATTAAGATACATGTCTTGTAAAGCCAACACGTTTTGGAGATCTTATAGTACATCGCCATATAACTTCTAGTTAAGAATATATATGGATGTAAGAGTGAAGCCCTCTTCAATCTTGTCAATACCTTTCTAGAACTTAGTCTTATTTCAAGACTTTCTAGTCTTCTTATTTTTGGCAATAGCCATTTTAATTTAATATTATATCATCTTTCAATGATTTTTTTAGTACATTTTAGTGATACAAAAGTGTATTAAGGATTTGTCTTTTTTCAAGATTCATGTCTTTGACAGTTTGATAAGAGTGCTAACATATTATTTTTATCTTATTTTAGAAGTAAGTAGATTATCCTACTTTTATTTTTATATTTTGAAGATTATCGACTATCTATCTTTAAACAAAAAAGTCTTATTTTTTAATATTGATCTTTTCCTTAAAGAAAGGAGATTATCCTTCTTTGTAGAAATTTTTATTAGAAGTTGTAGATTTCCCTCTTCTAATTTAACTTTTGAATTTTTTTGAGTTGTCTATGGAAGGAAAGATTATAGATGCTACTTTGAGCGGAAGTAAGAATAGATTTGCAACTATTGCAGATCTTCATAAGCTTGTCAATATTCTAAGAGTGGAAATCTCACATATTTTCAATATGAATCATAGAGGTACTATGCCTATGCCTATGGAAGAAGTTTA